CAAAGTTACACCCTGATTCAAGGCTGGAAAAGCTATCCTCCAGCAGCTCTTCACATGAAATATGGCCCACAGCACTATGATAAGTCTTACCAAGGAACAAATGCACACTTCCAGCCTCAAAACATTCTGGATAAAGTGTTTGTTAGTGAAAGTGCAGTGCTGCCCTGGGAAAATAACGTAACGTAACAGAGGACTGAGCTGCTGGTCAACTCAAAGTGAAGAGGAAAGGTGCAAAACCACATATTATTCGATCTGCCCTTACCTCAAACTCAGGACTAATATTTCAGACACTGCCAAGCTCTGGAATTCAGCCCAGCATACACCCCAAAAAGCTATCAGCAAAAAAAGAGCAAAACATCTTACCAGTTTCTTTCTGGGACCAGACTCCATGTAGTAGGCATATGGATATGTGTACTGCAGGGTGTAACGACACTGTTGGGGAGTGGGAGGAAGAGAGAGAAAAAAAGGACAAAAGTCTCAGACTTGGAAGTCAGCACAGTCACATTTGTGTGACCACTACAGGCTAAGAAGCTTCCTTCTGACAAGAGCGACTGGACACTTCATGGTGGAATTTCCTACACCTTCCTTGGAAGAACTTTTGCAGTTAAAGTATAACTTCACAGAGGTCACTTCCAGATGATTTTTGGCTAGTTCACGTCCTAGACCAGAGGTACTGTCCCACATACCCACAACCCCTGAATTCCCTTCTTCACTCGGTGTTGTGAATTTAGCATTCTGGTGTGTATTCTCTTCTCTGTGCCAAACAAGCCACAACTACGCACCTTTGCAAGTAGTTTTGCAGCATTTTGTAGGTATTGCCAGTCTATCCATGTTCCCAGGTTGTTCATAACTCTTTCTTGGATTTTCTCCTGGATCCGTTGGTACGTCTGTGCCTCCAGCTGTAGGCTTTTATTGTGATTCTCCCACTGCAAGGGGTGGGGAGATGGGGAAAGAAAAAATGGCATGAGACCAGAATACAGCTGCTGTAAAAGCACAAGCTCTAGCAAGCAGAAATTGAAGTGGGGCAGGAGTCCAGCAAGGCAAGACATGCTGTGGGAAAGAACAGCAAGGCAGCACCTCCAGTAGCAAGTAGCGGAGGCTGTATACAACAGACTGACAGCAGCAAAGAGCAGGGAGCAAACCCAGCTCATCAGAGTGGGAATGCCCTCTGGTTGCACAATGACCTTGTGTCTAACAAGATGGGAAGTAATGGTGATTCCCCTACTTAAAGGATTTCTAAGAAAGGTCAAGATTTTAAATTAACATTTAACACAGGCTCAGTGAACTCCAACATCCATGTGCATATTGTAAGCACGGCCATTTCCCACAGCCTGTTGGTCTGGAGAGCCAGGAATGAACACATTTATTTTACCAAAGGACTTGGCTCATGGTGTGAAGAATAAACTCATTTTAATGGGGAAGCTGAAATGCAGCAGTGTTGAACCTCTACCACGTCCTCTTCTAGAGATGCTGCTCTAGAATTGCACTGTATGGCCAGGTGCATCGAGCCTGCTGTGTGGACAGAGATGCTCTGACTGCAACTTTTAAAAATGTGATTACATGAAATTTTACAAAAGCTTTGCTACGGCCAACGGAGCTTTGAACATGGCAGAGTTTATTTAGTCTTTGTCTCTATAAAGACATACTGCAAGGAACTGAAGTTCCCCGATCCTGGAAGGAAATGATTGGAGCAGTATTTATCTACTGCAGCAGCATTCGGCCTGCAGGAAAATGGTAAAGTGGCACACAGGTAATACTGATTTTCTCTAGCACAAGGAAATATAGCAGCGAATATGATTTGCTTTGGGTACAACATTACTGGTTTGGCTGGGACTTGCAGGGCAGGATTTTGAGTGAAAAACAACAGGGCCTGAAAATTCTGCACAGATTCTCTTTGGGCAGTTTCTTGCACGGAGATTGCTGGCAATGACCTTTGCACCAGGCAGGGAGCATTAAAAGGCTACAGCAGCTCTGGCCAAGGAGATGTCTCCTACCCTCTCAAAATAGAACAAGTACTTCTTAAGGGCCTCCCTGGCCTGTGCTTGCTGACTCTGGTTTACAATATCAGGATTCTCTTTGTACCGACTGCATTCGTAGTACTCGCTGCCGTGAGTCTTCCAGTCTCCCAGACACATCCAGCAGAAGTCTGCAGAAAACAGCAAAAAATGCACTGTGATGCACAGAAAAAAAAAAAAACTCTGAGAAAGAAAAGCTTCAGGAGACGCAGCCCATCTGTTTTCAGATATTTCTGCTAAGCCAAGAAACATATACATTTTGTATCAGCTTGCATAACAGAACACAATAGTGAGCCAAAAATACCAGCCTGTCTTGAAGATTTTCATTGTACAGCCTCCCGTGCAACTACGGAAAGTAAATCCTGAAGTGCTGCATCCTGTACACCAAGACCAATGGGCAGAACTGTACTTGCACTCTGCACAGGCTGTCACTCTAGATTAAAGAAGAGGCAGGCTGCAGTCTTATTTGTGCATTGTATCCTTCCCACCACTGGCATACTGCCCCGTGCAGACCTCTGGCTGAATAAAATATGAATAACCAATTCCAAAAGTGAACTAACTAATGAAGAAGAAAGTCTACCCTCAGTTCTCTCGAGGAGGGAACTACCCAGGTAACTTCAGATATCAGTGGTTTATGACACTTCAAGTTAGGAGCCACTGAATTGGGAAGAAAGTGGAGGAAAGAGAGCAATAGCAAAACCCGCGTGACAGTTTCCTGATTTCAGAGCGAGGCTGTGAGTGTTCTGCTGGGAAGGAAAAAAGATGGGCATTAAGCTGCTACAATAGGAATCACTTCTGTGTTACTCATAATAAGAGACCAAAATTTGTATTTCCAGAGTTCACCAGCCTTCTCGAGTGCTAGTCACCACGGTACCTTGGCACTTGCCTGCTCACCCTTGTCACAGAGCTCCGTCAAAGCACGTCCAGTGCTGCTGAGGACCCCAAAGCAAAGGAAATGAGAGAGGACAGTAATCTTTAATCATCTTCCAAGTAAGGTTCTGATATTATAATATCTCCTAGTGGCACACTTAACTTAGAGTGCTGAATACAAACTACCTCGCTCCAAGGCAACAGAAATTAATTCTGCCATGAAAAGATAAGTGCAAGAACAGGCTGTCATTTTGTAGGACCACACAATGGGCCAAAGACACTCAGACTGCTAATTGCACAGGGATGGACTGAGAAGTCCAACAGATAATGTTATGCAGAACAACTCACAGCTCCTGCAGCTTCACTGGGTTGAAGCTCATTATTTCCATCGCTAAGCAGAAGGACTTAAGCTGATCTGAGTAAATGGCTCAGTTCTGCCAGTATTTTCAGCTGATGACAAATAGAATTACATGGAAAGCATTTAATACTCTCCTCTGAGATGGATTCCACTGTTAATGTTATGGCAGAGATAGAGACTTCTCTATACAATGGACATGTCAGGGAAGAGGAGCCAAACCAGCACTGAATCAGAACCCAGCTGAGATCACAGCCAGTGGGAAAAAAAAAAGCAAGCTATCACACGCAAGTCTGTAATATCCTGTTCACCTTTTACTAGGGGGAACAAATATTTCATTCAATGTTCACAATTTCTCTTTTTTCTGTGATATGAAGACAAGAGAACATCACCGCTAACAAACACTGCAGAGAAAATTGTTTCCAAATCCTACTTACCATGCTTGCATTTGGAGCATTGCTGAAAAAGAAGAGACAGGAGGCACTGGTTAGTGGAAGGTGGGTAAAAAAAAATTCTGCTTAGAACAAGGAAGGTCTGATGTGTTCAGGGAATTGCTCACCATGTGGTTGCAGCCTCCATTCTTTTCAATACAGATATTGCACTTGGGACACTGGGGAAACAGAAGCATTTGTTAGATCCAACTCTGTCTCTAGCAGCCTTCTGGAGAATGACAACACTTGTGTGATTGTTCCCTTCCTGCCTTTTCTTTTTTTTAAATACGCATACATGTATATGAGAATATTAACATATATACACACTGCGTCCCACCAATTCCTGACAGCTCCATTTAGAAAGGAGGCAGAAAGGCAAAGCCAGGGAAGTTACACTGCAGCACTGGACTGCTTGCTCAAGAAAACAAGTTTGCTGTTGTTACTCCTTGTAAAACTGAAGGTCTCGCTGAGTTACCATTTAGCAGTTGCTCAGGCATACGGACATAATTAGTTCACATATGACAGTATCTTCCTCAGCTACTTAGACTACGAGATAATCAGCTCTATATCCTGCCTTCAGCAGCCATTAACAGATGACAGCCTAGCTAGCTGCAGAGAATCTGGCTGACCACAGTGAGCGCTGCACACTTTGCTCCATCAGCAGTTCACTGATGCCCTGGAGTGTCAAGTTCAGTTGCATTTTTTGGGTTGCATAGGTACAAAGGAGGAAGTGAGTTTTGCTGCTTTTTATAAAGTTTAGTGGCAGGCAAAACGTATGCCAGGACAATGCACAGTATAACAGAACCTTATTTCTACAAAAGAGCATAGCAGAAACAACGCCATCACATGTTGACACCTTCTCCAGAGAAAGGAGAGAATTTAAGATCTCTAGTCTATTGCTGCTCGGGGACTGGCTGGGCATCGGTCGGCGCGTGGTGAGCAATTGCACTGTGCATCACTTGCTTTGTGTATTATTATTATTATCATTATCATATTATTATCATTTTATTTCAATTATTAAACTGTTTTTATCTCAACCCACGAGTTTTTCTCACTTGTGCTCTTCCAATTCTCTCCCCCATCCCACCCGGGGGGGGGGGGGGGGGGGGCCGGGGGGGGGGGGGGGGGCGG